CCTCTCTCGCTCTCTCTCTCTCTCTTGATCAGTGTACATCTTTTACTCTTTCCCTCTGCTATCTATCGATCTATCTATCTATCTATCTATCTATCTATCTATCTATCTATCTATTCGAGAAAAGCTTTGTTGAAAAAATGTGCTCATAGGTGTGTGAATATCTCAGTTGGTATTGTGCCGGACAGCGCCGAAGATGATACCGTACAAATCCACGAGAGATCTTACAAGCAGCAAGTTAGATTCGTTTTTTACGTTCGTACATCAATTTGGCTGCGTATGTGGCGTTAAAATTTGAGGTCCCGCCAAGGACTACTATACTCAGTAACTGAGTATAGTAGTCCTTGGGTCCCGCCCAAAAAATAACCCCATTGTGTTAAAAGTGTGTCATGAGTCTAGTGGTCAGGCTATGGACAGCAGAAAATCATGTCAGTTTGTTAGTGTTTGAGCGCTTAATCGATTGGTTGAACTGAAAGCCTAGGTTGAACTGTATGCTTCCAGGAGAGCCGAAAATGTTTTCGAGTCTGCTAGGGTCTGTATCGTAAATTGTAAAGCCCATAGACATTGATTTTGAACGGCGATGTGCGCTGTACAAATGTTAATGCTATTTATAATCATTATCTATTATAAACAAAAGGACGGTTAGTGGGTGTTCTGGTTTGGTTTGCTCCTACTTTCCTATCAGACATCTATCATCTTCATATTATATCTCTTTCTTCTTTTGTGTGTTTGCTACTGTGTTGTAACACTTATATTCCTCGGCACTTATATACCCTTTTTGTGCTGCAAGTGCCGTAAAACTCTTATTAAAATTCAAAAGCATTATAATACATGTCGACAGGCCGCGTCACTGTTCACATTCGAAGAGCCAGATACAAACAGTGACTAACAATATTGGACTGCACGTTCGTTATAGTAGTTTTAATACTATTAGTAGTTTTAATACGCTGACAGTAATGACTCGAGGATGATATTTAATTACACGTAGAGGTTGTTTAATGTTAGCATATACTAATTGCTTACTGAATCGATAGGAATTCGACATGAATAAATGGGAGTTAGAAATTGGGTTTTCGTGTGCGTGTGTGTTTGTGTGTGTGTGTGTG